TTTGTCCCAAGGTTTGCCAGATTAGACCAGTTTGGGAAGAAACTCTGATCTTTAACAGCCAGAAGCAGCATTCTACACAAAATTGCTTCTAACAAAGTTCTGCTTCAATTTAAGGTTCAAAAAAGAAAAAAAAATGCTCTTACTCGTACTTACATTTTTTAGACCAAGTAAAATTTATTCTGCACCTTTGATGAGGTATCCCATCATTCTTAGCTTCAAAATTAAGGTCTCCTATGTCTCTTCAGTAATTAACATAAGTGCCAAATAATCTTTTCCCCCTATCTGATAAAAGTCAAGTAGCTTTCTTTAAATGCCAGCAATCATCCTGCTTCCTGCTATCTCCTTCCTCACAAGACATCCTCTCTCCCCTAAAGCATAATGTCAGTCAAGACCTCTGAATCCAGCAAAGCTACTTTGCATTTTTTCATTCCACTGGGATTTCCCTGGTCTACCCCCATTCTCTTGGAGAATGAGATTTTACTTCGTCAAAATAATTCAAGTAACCCTTGTTTGTCTTAGTAGGCGGCAAATTACTTTAATCTGTTCCACAGAAGCATAAGCCCTATGGACCTTATGCCACTTCAGATAGCAGCATGAAGAGGAGGAGATAGGTATCCAGAGATGATGTCTTCCTCATGGCTTGAATACATATATGAATATGAATGCTCCTTTGGCTTGTCTCAAAATAATGGATTCTCACCTTGACCCACGCTGCTTTTTCCCATGCATTCACAAAGCATTCTGTGGGTAAGGAACACAAAATATGTTTCAAGGTCTGATACTTCAGAACGATACATAAATTCCCTCTCCCTCCCTGCTTTTAATTCTGGGGGACAGAAGCCATCTGTCTTGTAGCTGTGTGCAAGACCTATGAAAAATAGGTCCTATTGCATTCCAAGCAAATGAGCATACTCTCTAACAATTAAAAAGTAATTATGGTCATTATTTATCACCATCATCTTCAGCCTTTTGCCCTTCAGGCACAAATAAACCATGGTGTCAAGCAGCAAACACTGAATATGACATTCTCTAGTACAGCTCACATGAAAAATAAATGCAAGCATCTGAGCAGTGCTGATGCTGTGGTGACTTAGGGCTGTCTTCTGCTGTTTTATTCCAGACATATCCATCCTATAAAATACTGCACCATGCAGAAATACCTTGAGCTGGTGTTTCTGGAAAGGGTAACTGGAATTGGAATTCTGGGGGAGTGGTTAATCCTGGGCTAGTTTTCATCTGTTTCTGTACCTGGGGCTGGTGCCTCTGCAATATCACCAACGGCAGAGAGGCAGCACAGAGCTGAGTGGCACAATGCAGGCAGCAGACCAAATTCAAGCAGCACATGGCATTGTTCACAACCTGCTCAGATGGAGATGGAGAGCAGCTATTAAATCATAAGGAACACATCATTCCAAAAGCCTCTGAAAAAGGAAAAGCTGAAGAATCAGCAAAAATTGGTTTAATCACCTTTGCCAAAACTATATTCAGCCTTCAAGGTACATGCATGCTATAGCACACATCCTTCTTTGGCTGTGTAAGGAGCACTGCATTTCTTTAAAATGCAAACTTTCTATAATTTGTTATAATTACTAATATTTTGTTCCACAGAATAGTTGTGTGACTATTAAATCACCTTCAAAAATGCAGTTTTGCAAAAATACTTTTCACTAGAGTACACTTAAACCTATTGATTTAAGAAATCTAAAATGTTATCTAATTTGTAGCTAATATGTATGTAATATATTTTTCAGATTTGTAGCCAAATGTCCTCAATATACAGAAAATACAGGAGCTTAGGGTACATAAAGAGAAAAGTATACAGAAGTACTTTAAACTCAAAGGCGACACTAGAATACCAAATTTATTTTTTTCACAGTGAGTATTCACAGTACTTAAATTTCACTTAAATTCCTGGTGGTAAGTCAGTAAGGCAGACAGCAGCTTTGAAGGCTTTTGAAGGGCTGACATAATGGCTCTTAGAGAGGAACAGGATCAAGACAGTGACTGGCAGATAATACAGCAGGAAGAACTTAAACAATCTGAATACGACCTGCAGAGAATTTCTAAAAAGCATTCAACTAGTAACATTTTGATCACAAATGTCCAGAGTTTCCATAGGCTTCACAAACATTAAAACCAATATTTCCAAAAGCACACTAAGATAATTTCACACTACTGGGAATCAAAGAGCATGTGGTGAGAGGAAAAATCTGATGGTTTTCTGAAGTGTGCATTTCTGGCATCAACCCTAACATTTTAATCTAATTGCTTTGTCTACAAAAACAGAAGGAAAGAGCTAAGCAATTTTTCTTAATTTTGGTGTTGTTGTTATAGATTGAAGGAATAAGCAATTAAAGGGGTTCTGCATCAAAAAATTATTCCATTGTCGGTTCCAAGAATATCTGGAACTGACTGATCACAACCAGCATTTGCTTGACACATTTAATATTGAACAGCATATACCTAAAAAATATTTTTGATAAAACTGAGTTTCAAATTTAAAAGATATTAATAACTTCTTTGATTAAATACTAAGGAATATAATTTTTGTTTTACAAATATTTTAGAAATGTAAACTCCTGGCAGCTGAAGCACTTACTTGAAGCAGATTTTTGGCTTAGCTTTCATCAGTTCTATGGAATTTTCCATTATATGACTTGCTGAAAGATGCATGATATGATCTGAATGACTGGTGATTGAAGTGTCCCAGGGAGCACAATTTTAACTGTTCCATATGAAATAGAAGTCTATCTACCAGGGACAGACATAGTCCAGCAATTTCCCAACCAGCCAAAAGTCTGGGCTGGTATTAGAAAGGTGAATTCTTAACTTACCAAACTTTTTTCTTTTAATACAAGGTTCCCAATGGTAACAAAAGCCTCACAGAGATTCTCACTACAGTTTGAGGTAATCATTCCTTGACACTTCTGCTTCCACTGTGTGTAATAGAAAAAAGGGACAGCTGAAAAAAAATGAATTAATATTATTTTTATTTCTAAAATTAACTAAAAAAAGCTAAGAAGAAAACCTACAAGGTAGGTTTTGGGGAAGAATATAAAATGCTGAAAACCTGAGAGCTTGACACTAGTTACCTAAACTGAGTGAAGTTGTGTGCTCTTCAGTAAGTACCTAGCAAGTTCATACAATGAGCTAAATACATCAGCTTTTCCTTCTTCTAGTTTCTCTCTTTGACATACAATTCTCCTAATCAGTCATGTTTGTATTGCATTTTCTCAAGAAATGCCAACATACATCATAAAACAAGACCATATGCTACCAAAATAACATATGAATCTGTTTTGGAAACAAACATTGCTCCTCTAGAGTGAAAGATTAAGATCCTATTCACATTACAGTTTTACAGGCTCGAACATGGAAGAGATATACCCAGTGACCAATTTACTTATGCCTGCAGGTGCCCAGTCTATGGTACTCCTATGGAAAAGCTTCATGGCTCAGCCTCTCTCCTTGGGGAGGATGGTATCAATCTGTCAGCAGGAAATAGTTCCTTTTGTCTGCTTACAGGGATTCTCCATGATGGGGTTGGCAAGGACTGTGTGTAATGGAGCTCAGCCCCAAGAATGGAAAGTTCCAGTCCTGAAGCAATTGATGTGATAAGTTGCAAGCTAGTGACATTTTGAGAGGCACAAGGAGAGGATCAGAGCAAGAGCTGGAATTCAGTGTCTTCCTGTAGAGAATATTGTCTATTTGCATTACAAAATAGACTTATCACAAATACATTCTTCTATTGACCATACTAAAGAAAAATGCAGAGATTGACAGGCATAAAGTATCACAATGTCATTATTAAACTTGAAACTGACAGAGTTATTAGAAGTAAAATGCAAATTTTTACCTGAGAGGAAAAACTACAGTAAAATCTTCGTCACTGACTGCTTTTGAAATTAAGACTGCCTGCATGTTTATCTAACAGATGTGCTCCAGTTCCAGTAGGAATTAATTCAAAATTTTATAGACTGTGTTACAAGGGTCAGACTCTGTAATTGCAAATCTTCTATTACAATCAGTTAATCTACTGATTCAATTTTATGCTATGCATTTCATATAAGTCCTTGAATTCAAAGAACAGAGTTACAATGAATGATTTTAGATTCCTTTAAAAACTAGAAGAAAACTGAAGGGTCAGAAAGACAGTAGAAAACATAAGTTGAAAGAAAAATTGAGAAGATCACAAAATTATTAAGTCAGTAAGTAATGCTAGTTCTGTAACTTTTCTCTAAAAAATCCTTTTTCTCTTTCTCTGATTCTGCTGCATTTCTTCCATATTTTTCTTTCTTTTCCTGGATTTCTCAGTCTCCTTTGACTGAATTCTTTTGGGATCCTCCCTCGTGAGGAGCTCTGCTTATATCAGTTCTCCAGTTTTGAAGAAAACCCCCGAGCTCGTTAGAATCTTGTTTCTTGTGTTTATTAAAAGGTCATCACAAAATTTGGCAGGTCTCTCCAGACAGGCTGCACAAGTTTAATTCTTTGCAATCTGGTACATTTCTTTCTTCTGATGGTGCAACAAGGCCTTGTGGCTCACTTTGTGTTCAATAGCACAAAATGGCCCTGAAATATGCAGTGCTTTTATTTTTATACTTATTCTTACCAATTAACAATAGACATGTATATTATTTTTCTTAATGACCCAATGACCCATTTTCTGTATGCTGCACTGCGGCATTCTCTGTCCAATCACTGACTATTACCCAAAAACCCCTAGAAGAAGAACATGAAGAAGAAAGAAGAAGGACGAGAGACAACACCCTAAATCCTCCATCTTGTCTTCTGTTCTCTAAACTAACTTTTTCACACAGTGGCTTAAGAAAACTCTCTAATCTACACACCTACACTTTTAGCTTTTTCTATATAACTTTAACAGTTGTTTTCATGTATCACCATGAAAACATGCCCATGAATTTCATATTATATGAAATTCAGTGTTTTTCTGGATCTTAGAACTAAGTATCAGAAACAAGCACACACTCTGTATTCCAGACTCCTTCTACTTCAGACAAGTTCTATTTTTCCAGCAGCAGGCAGCTAACACTGAGTTATGTAGAGTCAAGCTTTCTTCTTCAGGTGAGCACCTTAAGCACTATGCTACCCTGTTGTTTTCTCTCCTGGGCTTTGCATTTGAGGCTTCAAAATAATTCTGTTTAAATGGGAAAAGAAGAATTTCACTCATCTTCTTCAGCTCTTAAGACTATTTGACAGGACTTGTTGTCACAGCTTCCTCCTCTCAAATAAAGGAGATCAAATTATTCAAGAGATGGTCCTTGACTTCTCCTTCCATCCATTTTTTGAAAGACATCCCTCTTGACCTCTGTTTTTTGTAATGGACACTTTACAGATGGTCAGGTCTGTTCTGACTCCTGTTAGAATCAATGAGAGAGCAGAAAACATTTTAAAAGACAGCATATTAACTAAGCCAGGTACATGCTCAGGCCATTGCAAACAAAGTAGAAACTATTCATAAAATAAATAAATAATCATTAATTTTGCTAAACAATTGGCTCTGCAATCACACAAATGCCTGAAATGTGTTCTCTACAAGCACACTGCACTGAGTCTGTCTGGGCTGGACTTAATTTTCTTCACAACTGTATGTTTTTTGACTGATGACCAAGAAAGTGCTGATAGCACATCTGTGTTTTAGCTATTTAGTGTCAAGGCCACCCCTGTTTCTTACTGTGCTGCCCCAGAGAGGAAGCTGAGGAGGGCAAGAGATTGACAGTCAGAGTCAGTGAGATTTGAACTGACCCCAGCTGACCAAAGGGATGCTCCCTGTACCTTGGAATGTGCTCAGCAATGAAACGGCCTGGGAGTAACCATTGCCTGGGGACTGTCAGGGCATTGCTTTGGTGTTGGTTATGGATGGTTTTTAGCAAGATTTCTTTCTTTTCTTCTTCCCCCCACCCCTCCCCTTTGTTTACTAGAGTGTTTATCTTTACCCAAGAGCTTTTTCTCACTTCTATTCTCACAGTTCTCTCCCTCAGCCTGCTTGGGAAGGAGTAAGAGAGTGACTGAATGGGGTCTGAGTTGACAGCTGGGGTCAGCCCATCACAGACACAGCATTCAAACTTGTGTCATTAATGACACATCTGTGCCTAAGCTGTACTGGAAACAGGCAAAGTTTGGCAAACGTTTTGAAAACTGTATTTCTCAATTGTAAAATCCTGTAATATGAAGAATGCATTCATATTAGTAAAATATATATGCTAAATTCATACTGATGTACTGTTCACATATCCAGATGGGAGAAAAACTAGCCAGAATTTTTGGAAACAAAATTCAAAGTTCAATAGAATTTGGTCACTTTTACAAGGAGGTTCTTAAAGGACAGAAAAAGTGTTTTATTCTAAAGATTCATGCAGATTACAGACTCACAGAATATTGCTAAATTAAATAAATGTGCACAGAATGTCTGCCCAATGACCAATATATTTTTCAAAACAATTTTTAGATAGTAGTTCTTTCTTTTTTTCCTGAATATTTTTAATATACAGAATTACTGAAAGCACTATGGAAACAAAACTGTTAGTGCTTAGAGTATATAAAATTACAGCACTTGTAGCCAAGATTTGGTATGAACTATAAAAAAAGTTATGCATAAATGTTCCAGTTTGAAAAGAATATGTTCAGAATGACAAAATTTAATACCAATAAAAGTTAAAAATGTGAAAACAAAGGATGGGTCCAATTTCAATACTTTCTACTTGCATAAATGTGCATGTGAGAGGATACATGTAAATTTTTTGAAACATTATTTATTTCACTATTCTGAACTATGAATTACATATTTTCAAAGATTTCTGCCTAATTTAACCAAAACTTTTTAATTTTTATTACTTTTTGAAATGTCACTATATTCTGTGGCAATATAGAAGTGAGTTGGTAAAATAAAATCTTGGCATGAGGAAAATTGACTAATTCATATTTTCTAAAATAGCTTCATAATAACATTACAAGTTCCATCTCTTTTTATACCCATTAAAGTACTTTTTGTGAACAAACCCCACAGATTGAGAGTCCATAATTCAGTCAAATAACATAATTGCACATAATATCCTTGGGTGAGGATGCAAGCTTACTTTAGATGTGTTCATAGTAATTTTAGACTAATCTGAGCAAGGAACAGCTTAGTCCTTTTCCATGTGATCAGTGCCCATTGTAAACAAGGAACAATATTTTAATTTTGGAAACATCTGGAAACATCTTAATTTTGCTATTACTTGTTTTCTTCATTATAGTTTTGTTTTTTTCCTTTTTTCCTTATTTTTTTTCTCAATGAGTAGAAACATATGCCCAAGTATGACATTGCAGAGAACATTTTCACATTGCAGCTCTTAACCAAGTCTCCTTTCACAAACACCACTATATATGAATGAAGGAAGAAAAAAGCAAAGCTTTCCCTTTCTCTGGAAAACACACAGATGTCTCAAGGAGAAGAGGGAAGCACTTAAGAAGCTGTGAAATTCACCACATTGAAACCAAGATTTGTACTGGCTTAACTTCTTCTAAATGTCAAGGGAAAAATAAAAGGAAAATAAAAAATCTGATAAATTCCCAAAATACCAATTGGTATAAATTCAATATCCACCCCTCTATCTCCAGACACTTTCTCTGGAAACAAAAGAAACCCATAGGACAACAACAAGAGTACCATCAATACCTCTTTCTACCATAGTCATTCAAGTTTCTCCAAATTCTCTTTTCCTCCATAATGAAGGCATTTCCTTTAAGGGAAATTTACTAACCATTTTAATTGGTCATGAATTATAATCAAAATATATCTGGATCCTTATAGACTTTTCATGACCACTACAACTTATTGTGTGGTTGCTCCTAGTCTCTGAAATCTACTTTAAAGTAGATAGAAAAAGAAGTGTAATCAGAAGAGTAGCCACTGTAGAATATACAGCTGCTCTAAGTCAGCATTTTCATCCCATAAATTTCTGAATATCCACAAATAATGCTGGGTGGATTTTAATAAACTGTGTTTATGCAGTAAATTGCAGTGTTTTCTAGGAATCAGCTACACCAGCATAGGATGTCTTAAGATAATTATTAACTAGGGGTGGTTTTTGGTTTTGTTTGGGGGATGGGGCAGGCATTTCTCTTTTTTTTGTTTCTCTTTTTTTAGCTTGTTACATTTGGAGTGAGACCATAAGACCATGTGAAATAAGTCTGGAAATTTCACTGGGTCCCAAGGCTCAGGTGCTCTGGTGCTCTGGTACTCTGGAAGCTCAGCTGTCAGGCAGGTTCCTACAGCCAAAAGCAATGAGGAGGAACCTGAGTTACCCCTGGAATCTGCCAGGGGGAAAAAACACCTGATGACGGTCCTTGGTCTGTTTGTATTTTATTCATACCAGTGTGAATCAGACGAAACCCCGCTGAGTCTGACAAGCCTTTCAAAAGAGATTCTGGGCCTCTGTGAAAAGATCAGGATGTGGAAGATCTAGGCATTGTAAAATCTCTGCAAAAGTAAGGCTTGCTTCTCTGAAAGAAGTGCCATCAATTCAGGTATATCTCTAAGTCCTTGTCAGCAGTGCCTTTCCCTTTGGGCTACAGCATTTCACCCTATGCATTAAAATTGCTATCCTGGGCCAGAATGGCAGCAAAGTATTACAGTTTCTACTCTACTGCTGGATCTCCTAAACAGCCAGCTATGCAGCAGCTTTCCCCCAGCTAATTTTTAAATTGATACCCAGTGTTGACTCTGTGCACTAAGGCCACACAATCCAGGCTTTTGACTCTGAAATTTCATTTTTTATTATCTATGTGTATATTTTGTCATTTTCAAAAATGTACTAACCTATAACCATATACATCAAGAGGGAGGCAAAGAAGATTAATTTCTTGTATTGATTGTTCTGGGGAAAAAAACGCAGTTTTAAATGTCTCGCTTTCTAACCTTGCTGGAATTCACCAGTTCTTTATATATCAGGAGAGACTAATTGCAACACTTTCCTGTACAATTTACTTTTGCTGAGAAATGTTATGGATTTCTTCTTTACTTAAATGATACTTTTTAGATTGGATTCATGCAGAGATTTTCAGTGCTTTTAATAATTTATGTTGTTCAGTCCCAAATCTCTGTTTATCTCTACTATATTTCATGCATGTTTTAAACAGGATTACACTAAAATGGCACTCAGCAGAGAAATGGGGGAAATTGAGTGGCTTACCGTGTTCTTCTCAAGTAAAAGAAGAACCTTGAAGTTTATCATATCTGACACTCTATTATATAGAGGCAACATCTGTGAGCAAGGATCCATGGACAAGGTTACACAGCATTGTATTAGGAAAGAAATTATCCAGAATGAGCTGTTTGACCAAAAATTGGAAATAAAAGATAAAAGCCCAAGAAAAGTTTTCTTTTCTGGCAGTTGACTACTTTTATCATAGTCTATTACAGTACGCAGAGGAAACAAACTCTTACTCTGAAAGTCCTAAGCTATCAGTATTTAAGATGCATATGGACAATGCCCTTAGCAACATGCTTTGATTTTTGGTCAGCCCTGAAATGGTCAGGAAGTTGGACTTGATGATTATAATATGTAAGAAAAAACAACTAGATGTTCATCTAAGCAGGAGCCTAGTAATTTTTTGTCATTTCAAATTTCCAAGCCAATAAAATGAGCTTTGAGCAAAGGTGAGACGATAGTTTTCCTTATGCATTGTACGTGATTCTTTCAGTCTGGGCTGCTGAGGCTTTTTGTTTTTCCTTTTTTTTTTTCCTTTTTTTTTCTTTTCCCAAGAACATGACAGGATAGTCTTTTGTAAAAATTAGCCTACTTCAGCCAGTTTTTATCATCTGAACCTGTAATTAATGTTCTTCAAACACTGGCCCTTATCTGCTGTCTTAAAAGAACTTTGTGAGAAAGCCAGAGACACAGTTTAATTTAAACTGTCAAAGATGAAAAGGAAAAATACATTATTCTTCCTTTTACACAGGTGATGAGAAACTTCAGTCTTTGAAACAGAGAATGTCAATGTCCTGTGCCAGTGTGATGCTAAATAAAGTGGATGATGAAGATTGATTCATTAGAAATGTTCTGCCCTTTGTCAGATAAGGAAAGCTGAAAATCTTGTTTGCTATTTTTTTTTTCTTTAATAACTGACTAGAAGTGATAACAGGTGTCAGCAAATGAAGAAATATTTGAATTAAAAAACAAGTCCTTGACATTCACTTAACTTGTCCAATATGAAGCAATAAATAAAATAAGGAGACTCCTTCTGCAGTTTGGAAAACCTGGATGTACTGAACTACTAAGGGTGGATTGCACCTGTCTGCTCGGATGGACAGAGTGCCTCTGCCCACCCTGCCCAGGGACTCAAGGGCACTTGGGCCCTCCAGGGAAAGAGACAGTCACCCTGCCTGAAGTGTCTGTGCCAATGTCTATTTATTGACTGATTTGTTCAAGTGCTTCCTTGACTACACAGACACCCAATATTTTAGACAGCCAACATCCTTAATCAGGAGCTAGTTTGGAAGGTAGAAATGACTTTACCATTTTTGTATCTTCTCCAATGATGACAAAATGCAGCCAACACAAATGAAAAGGAACTTCTCTGCTTATATTTTGCTCAGGCCATTGTTGAATTATCCTTGAATGTCTGTGCTATCTCCATAATTATCCACAATCAAAACTGATAATTTCTCAGTAGTTCCTAAAAAATGAGAATTAAAAAATAAAAGAAGAGTGATTTTTCTTTTTTCATTACTATGTATTAGGGGAAGAGAGTAAAAAGAGCTTTTCTATTGAAGTCTGTAAAAGTAATTTAAAAGGATAAATCTGAGTGACTTTACTAGCTTCTTTACCACTTCTTCCTTTTCTTAGAAAGTAAAAGTATCTAAAAACAAAATAAATTTTAAATCTATACACCTCATAAAAAATGCAATTATATTTCAATTATCCCCTGGGGATTGTACTGAAAAGAGCATGTTGATTCTGCAGCCCTTGGCTCCAAAAGAAACAGAATGAGAAATCTTGGCATCTGTTGTACAGAAAGTACAGAAAGTTAAGTGTCAAAGCCATTTTTATTTCAAAATAATAATTCTTATTCTTTGTTGATTTCTTGATATTTCATTTTTCTTCCTTATCATTGCTACTAGAACTGTGCCTCTTTTTGCATTTTTTTAACTCCTTACAGAGTACGGTCATTTACTTTCTAAGCAGCAGCTTCATTTCCAGTCACTCCACTAAGACTCCTGCCCCAGTTTCTTTACCTTCATAGCAAGTAATGGTCCCAATGCAAGGTCTGCTTCAGCACTCTGTTGACAAAGAAGGTTAGTTACAATTTTCACAGATTGTCTCCTAGTTAAATATACAGTTGGAGACAGGGAAAACCTTGATTTGGAGGTAATGGCTCACTGTTGTGCCATTCAGTCAATTTCTCATCAATCTTTTTTTTTACCTTCTGCAGCGTGGAATATCATAGAAAAGGTCTGAGAAAAACATGTCAGAGAGTCACAAATTGCAGGATTGACAAGGACTGCTATTTCTAACCTAAAAAACCCCTCTGTGGTATCCTGAAGAAGACATTTTAGTTGCAGCTCGTGCTGGATTTGGTTGGGGTGGAATCAATTGTCTTTACAGTGGCTGAAATGGGTCTGTGTTTAGGATTTGTGCTGAACACAGGGTTGATGATAGAGAGATTCTTTTCCTATTGCTGAGCAGGACTTACCCAGAGCCAAGGCCTTTCCTGCTTTTTGTACTGCCACACTGCTGATGGAGTTGGGGGTGCATGGGAGGAGACACAGACAGGACAGGTGACACGATCAGATCCGAGGGATATTCCAGACCATATGACAACATGCTCAGAATGTAAAGTGGGGGGAAGAAGGAGGAAAGGGGAGAAAATTTGGAGTGATGATGTTTATCTTCACAAGTTAGCATTACATCTAATGAAAACATGCTCTCCTGGAGATGGCTGAACACCTGCTTGCCCATGGGAAGGGGTGAATGAATTCCTTGTTTTTGTTTGTTTGTACAGCTTTTGCTTTCCCTATTAAACTGTCTTTATCCCTGCCCAAGAGTTTCCTCACTTTTACCCTTCCAGTTGTCTCCCTGATCTTGCTGGAAGGGGAATAAACAAGACTGGCCCTGACACTGGACCCTGGGAAGAGCACCACTGGTGACACGTTGACAGCTGAATGTGACTCCATTCACCACCACTCTCTGAGCCTGGCCATACAGGCATTTTTACCCAGAAAAGCGATTTCCTTTCTGAAGAATGCCCAGCCTTCCTGGACAACTTTACTCTTCCGGGCTGTCTCCCAAGAGACTCTGGCAACCAGGCCTTGAAAATGGGGGAAAAAAGGAAGTGGGAGGATGGAGCAGACAAAAGTGGAGGAAAAAAGGGGAATAGTAAAAAGAGGTAAATGTAGAAGGAAGAAGAGAGGTGAGGAGGTCTTTTCTGGGATTCCATCTGCAGTGACAACGGAGGGGACAGGTCACAATGGGGTGATCACCAAAGCATGGCAGAGCAGGTAGGGCTGTGGTAGTGTCCACTGGGCAGGGGTGAGTGCCAAGGTATGTGGTGGATGCTCAGATGGACAGAAATGCCATCTCCTGGGCCAGAGGACAGTGCCATCCAGCTCCCTCACCCCCTCTCCTACCTGCTCCCAGGTCCTTGAGACTCCTGCCCCCACTCCCGCTGCCACCAGCTCCCTCCTGCCCAGCCTCACTGAGCCCCCTTCTCTCCTCCTTTTCATCCATGGGGATTCCTTCTCAGCAGGGCTTGTCTGAATGACTTCTCATCTGTACTCCTATCTGGGAAAGCCCCAACTCAAGTGCACCTTGCACTTGGGCTTGTTGAACATCATGAGGTTCTCACAGACCCTCTCCTCAGGTTTGTCCAAGTCCCTCTAAATCATGGAATTTATGAACATTTTGGAGCAGCCATCCTCAGAGGTGTTTGAGCTGATACTCTCTGTTCCTGGCATCAGAAGTGGACCCCCTTTAAGCAGCTTCACAAAAGCTATATACAACCAGATGATGGAGCTGCTGAATTACCATGTTTCAGCAGCCCACAGCGATATGAAGTGGAGGAGGGGAGCAGCTGACTTCACACATAATTTTGTTATCAACACAGCACTAAACGAGGACTGAAGACAGTACTCATCAGATCTTATGAAGCATTGTTGTAGTGATTTTCAATAGCTTTTCTTTTTTTTCAGATATTTTCTCAGTCTCTTGCACTTGATGTTTGTGTGTAAGAATAGCTCCTAAGGGCAGCCTGTCCTGAAACATCCATCAAAGGTAGTTCCTGTAACAGTAGGAACAATGCAGCCTCCCCCATAGCTTAGTTTTGGAGGGTTTTGCCAGGGCTCAAGATGATTCCTTCATTGGGAAAATTAAACTCAGCCCCTTTCCTTCTAACAGACTTGGCAGAAGAATTGGAGCTAGGACTATTAAATGGAAAAGTAATGGAAAGGCACGCAGTGTCCAAAGCTATAAAAGAGCACCAATGAAAAGCACACCAGAAACTTGGAAAAAAAAATCTCCAAAACCTGCCAAACTCACAAGAAGGTCCACTAAGAGATTTCCACACAGAAATGCAGCTGAGATACCACTACTGTTACTAAATGCAATATAAGGTAATGAATTATATCAGTTAGCATAACATTATGAATACTCTGTGAAATTTTCTATTCTCTATGGAGCAAAAACATCTCCTCTTGTGACAATACCCAGAGCTATAAGGAGATTTAGTCAGTCACCAAACCACGCCCTTCAATCAGAATTCAATTCACCTTTTTTCCTTGTCAAGTGTGTTATAATTTCACCTTGGCTTACCTGTGTTTATTTTTTTTTTCCATGGGTTTGGGGTTTCTTTTTATTAATTTATAAAAGATATATTCTAAAATATATGTTTGACAATTATTTCGTTCAACAAAAAGAAAAAAAATTAATTTGAATCAACTGTACTGACTGGCAAACATATGAAATTTTAAATACAAATCCCATTGCTCTTTTTTTTTTCAGTTAACCTTTATGGATATAGTTTGACTTACTGGAGAAACTGGAATAATTTCATGCTTTTCAGGGCCACATCACTGTCACTGGCTTAAGGGGAGTGTGAATGTAATTTTAAGCCCTCTTTATCTGAGAGGATAGAGTAGTGTCCTAGATTTGATAAGTTATTTGTTATAAGGAAAGGGTATTCAGCTCATATATTTGACTTCTGAAAGTCCACATCAAGCTTCTCCCTGCTGTTAGCATGTAATCAGTGTAAAACATTACTCTACAGTTTCCCACTGGGCAGTGTTTATTGCTTGTACTATCTAAAGGATTTCCAGGAGTGGCAGGCAGGAAGCTGCTGGTGGCTTCAGGGCTCCCACAATTCAGTCAGATGCCAAACAAAGCCAGTTTGCAGGAACTTTTTCAATAGCATGTCCTTTTATGGAGTCTCAATGATCTGACTATCAATGAGGAATCTATTTTTATCCAGGCAACTTTTCTCAAATAACTGAACCCTTTGAATAGCAATACAGAGAGGGCAGATTTCTAATAATTCTTCTTTTGGGGATTTCTTTTTTTCTTTTTCCCTTTTCTTGTTTCCCTGGTAATGATCACCAGGCAATAGGAAACCAGAATCCAATCTGATTTATGCTGATTTATAAGATATCAGAAAGATGGCTTTAAGCCTTGCTGCATGTAAATGTCCTATTGACTTCACTGAAAGCAATGATGTACTTGCAGAGGAACTCACACTCTGAGGTTAAAGTCATGGAGTGCATTCACCATATGGAATTAAAGGGCCAAGGAGAAACCTCAGCACTAAATCTCTGCCTGTCCCCAATATTGGGGGCTGCTCTGTCACATAAAGGATACCACAAAACTAATACATTTAAAGAAAACAGTGAGATTGTGTTGTGTACAGTGCTGCCTACATTGTGTCCCCCCTCCTTTCAAGGGGTCTAGAAAACAATTTTCTGGAAAAGGACAAGGAAAGAAAGTTGAAAGAGCTGGGAGCAACAGCAGTAAATCTGATATGGAAAATCTTAATTAAAGAGGAAATTAAGGAAATTCCCATATTTTCTGGGATTTTGCTTTGCCCATCAGCAATCCTGCTGAAAATCCTGTGTCAAAAACATTTTATGAATCTAGATTGCCATCTAGGCTTTATGAAGATCTAACTTTCTTGCTGCTTTATGAAAAAAATATTCTATTCTATTCTATTCTATTCTATTCTATTCTATTCTATTCTATTCTATTCTATTCTATTCTATTCTATTCTATTCTACTATTCAATTCTTTTACTATTCTGCTGTTCTGTAATAGAGTCCAATCTGCTAATGACTTTAAAGAGAGATCATTCCTGGATTAAGCTATGGAGGACAGATTGAATTTAAAAATTGTCCTTTCATTCTTTGATCTACAAACTCAGAAGTGGATGGTGAGTAGTTTCCATTTTAGTATAAGGGGTTTTTTAAGCTATTTTGCATACTCCCCATACTGTTAATATTTCCTCTGATGAACCTTCAGCTTTTTTACCAGAAATACTCTATATCCTCAGAGCAACATTTAACATAGAAGTTTTACTTTGTACAATTGCAAAATACCTTGAAGGAAAAAGATACATTCTCTGCATGTTTAAGTCAATCCAAATTCAGGTGGACAGCTGAGATTCCCATGTAGGAATGTAGTTGTTCAATGCTTTATTTACAGTCAACAGAAAGAGACAAGCATGTAAAAGAGATTTAGTTCAGCAAAGTATTGAATTCCCCTATCAAGCACCATGATGACAACCTTTGCAAGGTGTGTGAGTTTGAGATAGGCATCCAAGTCCCCAAACCCCGGTGAATCACAGTGAAATGTAGTTTGTTTCATTTTATTTAGGGAAGATGGGATACAGAATGCCACTGCAATCAGTGTCACTTCAAGTGTTCACATGAAAGATAGGCGTGATTACTCATGCTTCTACATTACACCATTCTGTAAATTACTCTTACTTGAAACTGAATATTATGAATTTGAAATGTAATTGTTTATAACAAACAATCATATTCTTTCAGCCCTAAAGAAAGCTGAATTACTATGTTAAATAATATTGTCACCATATCACTTCATATTAAAAATAATTACTCCAGCTGAGGTACGAACAAAAGAACATTAAATACTATGACTATATAATCATACCACACTATTTTGAAAAAAATGTGTGCTGTCATAAGTTTTAGAAGCTGAATCTTTTCATAATGTTGAGGAATATACAAGATATAAAAAGCCCATACCCCAAAAAATTACTACATTTGAACATTTTGACTGTAGAAAAAAGATGAGTAAATTGTGATCAGAATTTCAACAATTTCAGTTAAGGATGGAACTCTTATTAAAATGAGACATCATAAAGTACTTTGGATTGCCCTTTCCACCTTTTTGTAGTTGAGCCTCATTCAATTTGTCATAAATAAATATTACCATTTTTTACTAGCCATCAAGTCTCTAGGTAAGGAAGGACATACCTTGCATAAAGAAATTCTTGTGGGTGGATTGAGTCATTTCTATATTTTTGCAGAACCATAATGTTCCTGCATTGACTTCAGCAGAAGCACAATGAGATTAATGTCCAGTGAGTTACAAAAATGGAAAAAAATTCCAAACACCAGAAGCTGACGAGAGGACCAGGAGAAAATAAAAAGTCATCTAAAAACGGTCGCTTCATACAGTTAGTCAGAAATCTCTGAAATGCCTCTGACTTATTCTCAACCTGTGCTCAGCTGCCATAAAACAAAACCAATCTTATCATTATGAAACTTACCATGATTGATAGAGGATGACAGAGATATTTTGATTTTATCAAAAGCTAATATAATTTCCCTAAGTTAAAAAAGAAGCCTAAAGAAAGCTGTCTCCAAATTTTCTGAACTGAGGATGCAAAGAGAAGGTGAATCCTCAAAAAATGTTTTTTAAGTTTTACTTAGAAGGTTATTATCATATGTATGAGGTTAAACAAAAACTCTGTACTAGAAGCAGATGCACAGTTAACCTGAAGTCATAGAGATGGTTCCATTGATCACACAGACATTTAGGCATTTCAGGGACCTAATTTAGGCATCTCCCTGGGGTCTTTATGGAGTGAGTAGAGGCATCTTTGGAGGGTGACCCAGATATTAGGCCAGCTGAGTAAGACAAGTTCTATGTTTGCCTGCTCCTCTCTTTCAGCTACAGAGGACCCTTAGAAGGTAGGATCACCTACCTTCTAAGATTCTGTGGTTCTGGTGAGATCTCTGCTTGACATAATTTCATTTGCAATGCCTCTCATTCTACATGTACTGTATTATATTCTTTTCAACAAATGTCATTGCCTGTTAGCCAGGCAATGGTGACTCACTCATGTTGGAAGGAGCATAAAATTCCCACTGAAAGGATTATGTTCAAGACTAACCCTTTCTGGGCTGGAGCTCAAAGAAATGACAATATATCCAAAAAGGTAATTGATTCAGGGCATGCAGAGAGTGTTTAATATGATTTCCCATCCCTTGTCAGTTCCAAAATCTGTGTCTCTAGTAAACACTCTGACACACACTATGTCTACTTACACTTTCCTGCAGACTGACACCCTGGAAACAGCCTCTCTGCTAACCAAGTCATTCCTCACCTCCACACAGCCCCCTAGGATCCACATCATGCTCTGCCCTTTCTGAGTTTCCTTACAAATGTCCAGACTGACAAGCAAGAAGAAGAACTTTGAATGGAATTTGTTAACCACTGGAATTTTAGCCCTTTAGGAAATGTAAGACAGGAAGGGTTTTGTTTACTTTTTCAAATTGCACAGCCCTAAATTACGTATCTTTCTGAATATCAAAGCACCATCTCTCTCTACATCTGACATTTTGTCAAACCACTGGTAATTTCATCAGTGTTAATCCCTTCCTTATGTCATGCCTTTCTGACCCTTGTCATGCTGCCTCCTTGTAAATGAGCCAGCTGCAGCTTCCCTTGATCTTTGACCCTTGGAACATGTCTTGCAACACATTTTTTGTTTTTTATATTGATGGGCAAAAAATTGGTAGTCAGGCATTAACTAAATAATGACAGTTCATTCAAAAATTTCTAGAGCTGGTCCCACAAACTTACTGAGCTTATACTGAGCATTTTGGCAGGGCTTTTTGTTCCAACATTGAACACAACCCCTACAAGATGAGGATGCATTCTCCTCAGAGCTGGCAGAAGTCTACTTGCATTGTGTGTCTTTGGCAGTCTTATCATTTATTACCTTCAAAAATCACATTTGTTCTTTGATTTAATAAAGTCCCTCAAGATCAGCTATGCCTCTGTTTTGATTTCTCATTGTAGGAGGCCAAACTATAATAATTTCATCTTTCTGAGTTCTATGAAACTCAGTTTAGGTTTTGGGGTTTTTTTTAATTTTAGCAAGTATACTTTTAAGCCAAAATGGATAAAGAATAATAAAACAATCATTGCATCACATGTCACTTTTCAGTGTACATTAATCTTTCCAATACTATCACTTTTCAAATAACTTGTTAAAAATTAAATGTCCCATCAATATGGTTACTATAAGAACTGCTGCTCTTCTGTCAATTAAGCTCTGTACATAAATGTGCTAAAGAAATTGTGCAAGTGAGACAGGAATAGTAACTATTTTAAGTACGATGCACACTGTGAAGCTATTTTTGACATTGTACATTGTATACATTCAGCTACCCTTGACTAAAAATGGGAAAAATAAGCTTTCTATTTTCACAGTTCATGCAAACATATTGCTTACACTAGTGAATAATCTGAGTAAAACCAGAAACAAATTGCTCTATCAGAACATCATCCTACAGCCAAATTTTTTGTGATTATAAAACTGTTATTACATATTCCTCCTACGGTCCAAAAACACCTACAGCAGATGAAAATGAAACTTCTGCTGAATTGATTCCCACATATCCTCTGTCTATTCCTGATGTTTATGAATGTCCATGACTTCTAAAAAGGAATCTTCCATTTTTCTTCTTATTTTCATGCAATTCTTTCACCGTGCTGACTCAACAACATCACTCTTTGTCAAGCATAGGTTGGGAAAGGGGTATGGAGGAAGGTAGCATAGGCAGTCCCTAGTGCCGCTCTAGATACTGCCTTTTGTAGCTTTAGGTTAATTCCAAGTGTACACTCAGATACAAGGAGAAACACTGAAATTATTTCATACTACTGACATTCAGACTCAGAAGTCAGTTATAAAAATAGGACTTGACCTGTAATTTTCCTAAGTTCTTTGAAAATTTACCTAATATCCTTATAAGTTATTTATTATGCCTTACTGTTAGAAAAGGGACCCCTCCAATCATTCTTTCTTCATGCTTCCAAACAGATACGCAAAAACTGACCCAGTGGTTGACTTGCCTTAGACCTTTCTACAATTTTCCTGAAAAGAAAAAAATCTTCAGCTAAACAAATTGTCTTCCCAATTTCATGCATTTCTGGATTGGCAAATAGCAGCAGGGCACATCTAGAATTTACATAGGACCTCAAAGGGATAGACAATCAGGCTGCAGGAAAAAAAAATATGTCCAAATTGAAGGCAAACTGATGGCCTGAGATAAATATATATATTTGTATGATGTTGTCCACAAGCTTTGTGATCTGGTGTACTTGAGGGCACAACATGACCCTGAATTTTAAGCAGTACTCAGCTGTATGCTTCTTGAATGTTTTCTTGTGCTCGATTGTCTTATTTTTGCTTAGCATATTCCTGGGTGGGGGGAAATTGTATTTTATTTGTTAGAATAATACAGTGTTAGGTTTTTCAGCAGAAATGTAATTCAGTGCCATTTTGAAAACATGAGCAGGAGGTACAGCTTCTGCTCTCTATCTCAATAGCTCACCTGCATGGAACAGAGCAGTTGTGGAACAAGTGACTTAGGGAAGCAGAGTTTCAAGGCAGTGGTGTCTTCTGGAGTGACTTATCTAAAAGACAACTGGGCATGGCTTTCCTCAACATTTGGTTCCTCTCTGACTCTTTAAAGGAAAAGATAGAAAGAAAAGTGGTGTGGGAAATACTGGTCCAGCATTTGCAACTTAAGGGTGTGAGGAAGGTAGGCCTGCTAGAAATGGATAATGTTGCTTATGATTTTTTATAGCAAAAAATCTTCAGGCATCTCTCCCACATGCCTAAAATCATCATTAAGACGCATGAATAAACCATCATAGAACCTATACTACTACATCTTAGAATTGATGCTCCTGTAATAGTACCATGAAAATCTCTGGCTCTGCTATTTGCAGGAAGATTCAGTGCACCAGATGCCCACATGTGAACCATACAGCTGAAGTTAAGATCAAGGATCAAAATACCCAGTTAACCAGGAGGAAAACGTTTCTCACCATATGGGTCCTTGGGTACCAACTCCCTGTTCTTAACACCAAGGGAAACATCTCTCCTGTTTACAAGGTGCCTCCAAAAGATGGTCTTGGGAACTGAAACTACTAAATATTAGAAATCATGGCTTTTGTAGAAACTCAATCTATTTTTCTCACATTCCATTTCTCACATACCACCATTTTTGATAGGTAATAAATTAACACCTTTTCTTCTTCATATTGGCTGCAACTACTTTATCACCTTATTCTGTAAAAGTTTATTGTTTTGTTCAGGGTAGTTGTTCTCAGCCTGTGCTTAAAGTTTTCTGTTTCCATGTCATATATAAATAAGGGCTTACACATCTGAAAGCATGTCTGGTTTTCCACTTTCAAAAACATTTTCTCTCCCTACAAACTTTGACTCATTCATCCAGGGATGTTGCCAAAGCAGCAACATTCCATGGTTTTGGGGCAAGCAACTCCTCCTTCTCCTTTGGACCTTTGGTTTTTTTCACATGAACTTAAAATTACACAGGGCTTGAGTGCTTCCTTTTTTTTCATATATAAGATTTATAGGCAGTATTACAACTTGACCTGCTTCTGTACACGGCTGCATGCCTTCCCAGATCAACCCTTTTACTCCATTTCAATGAAAATTTCCATATATGCTAAATTGTGTGTAGTGGAAAGACTTTTACGTCAGGCTCTTGGGAGCACAGAGCAAGCAGCATTTCTCAGCTATGTGCTCTGAAGTGCTGATAAATTCAGGGCATGAAAGAGGATGTAGAGATCTTGTCCAAAGTGCTCGCTCATTAACTAGAAATATTTTTTAGCTTCATTGAGTTTGCCTGAGTGAGACCCAATAGGCCAAACAAGTCGAGTCCTATATCCCAGTGAGGCCGTTCTGATTTTCACTAGCGCATTAGCAATGCTGCTATCAATGCTAATCAACCTGTAATTTTACAAATGAAATGTTATAAACCTTAGTAGTAAACTATACACAGCATACAGATGTAGAACGCTATGGAAACAAGTTTAGTTGCAGTTACATCTCAAAAGAAGTCACAGGGAAATTGAATTTAGGTTACACAGGCAGAGGCCAGAGCTTGGAAACAAACACTTTGCTAAAAGAGCCTTTTTAGCACTGTAAATCAGTGTGAGATCTCTCAAGCTGGTGTCTCAGCTTTGTTTTCCTTACCCTTCCACACACCCTTGATTCACCTGGACTCTGCCCTCAAGAACTACACCACTGTCTCCTATCCCAACTTCCTGGGCCAACTTTCATCCCTTCTGAAGAAAAGAAAACTCTTACCACCCCTACAATCCTTATTACCCAACTTTTCTAAGCCAAATACTTTTCTTAGAGAATTTGAACTCTGTAAATCTTTACAACAATAGGGCAAAGGAACCTCAAAGCCTTGCTTTCCTTCTTGATCCTTCCTCTCCCCATGCCAATCTGTAGACAACATGAATCTCAGCAGTACTAGGAGAGTGGGTGTTGTCTCCTGCTCTTAGAGTTTCAGTTCTTGAGGTCTTTGCTGCAAGACTGCAGCAAACACTCTTTCCACTAGACCTCCTCTGTGGCTGGACCTTTTGTTTTTGAAATGTTTATCCATATGGCTCCCTGGCATCTGTGATATACTTGGAAATCTCCAACTGTTTTTATTTTCCTCCTTTTTCAAGGTAATAACAAATTAAAGTCAGTTCTGTTAGAATAACAGACATTTTGGATACAGACACTATTCTCTTGACAAATTTTAAATTTCTGCTTCCACCCATGGTGGCTTTAGATCAATGAAGACATCATCCAAATGGTAGGTTGTCACAAAATATTTTTCTTTATGTTCATTTCCAGATGTAAATCACTGGGTGGCAACTGACACCAAGGAATTGAAAGAAGAGTCTGTTTAGCTGTCAGCTTGATGCATCTGGCTGGCTGTGTGGTTATAATGGTATCACAGTGTCTTGGGGAACTACTGAATCACCCTGTAACAGAAGGTTGTCTGTGTCTCGGTGTGCAAAGTAATAAAGCGGTATACAGAAGAAAATATTAGACAGCTATACTCCTCAGGCCAATTTGTCTCACAGCTATACTACAGTAAATCAGAAATAATTCCACAAACCTCTGCAGAGCTATTCCAGATGTATGTTTGCAGAGATAACAGCATAATCTAGTTCTTTTAATCTCATTCTGTCATATTATATAGCCAGTGAAATAGAGACAATATGCAGAAGTTTTTGAAAAAATACCTGTAAAATAAATAAATGTAAAAATATTGTAAAACAACTTTTATTTTCACAGTATTTTTAACACCCAAAGCTAAATTATAATGGAATAGATATACTGGCCACTTTTGAACTCCTTCTGGCTGTGTATGAGATATATGTAAACTTTCTTCATTCATTTGATGTGTGCCTTAGGCAGTGGTCTCCCTACTGATATCTACCCTGCCACTGTGCACACTGTGCATTTTCAAAAGTAGCATTGCCTCCTTCTTTCTTTCTTTTTCCTCTGGGTCTCCCACAGGAAGGAAATCAGAAAAAAAAAATTAATTGGTATAAAAAGCATAGCCCTTTCCAGTTCTTCCCCACATGGCCATGAACTCAGTTCTTCTGGCCTTTCCAGACAGCCAATGTACTACTACACAGGTCCTTTTCCAAAAGTCATATAAGACAGCCATGGTCCCTGGAAATCTTTTAGAAAAGTCTAATCTGTGCTCTAATATGACAAATTTCAGAAGAAAGAACAACTTCTAAATGTTACGTGAAATTACTATTGATTTTATCTACACCTAAACACAAAAATTTGAAATTTGTTTCAGGACAGTGTATAGTGTGTAGGAGATTTTAAAAAAGCCTGTTTTCTAGCTCAGAGTCATTGCACTGCAACCATAACAAGGTAACTTTAGTGCATGCCTTTGTGCTTGGTATCCCACTAAGGTAGCAGTCCTAATAGCTGTCACTGCCACAGATGCACCAGAGTCACTGAGATGCTCTATTTTGAGGAAAAAAAACCCAATTATTTTTCCACCAAGATTTAGCTGCTTTTTTTTTTTTTTAAATAACTATTGTAGGTGAAGATAATTTAGACTGAACACTGACAGGCAGAAAATAATAGTATGTCTGTGGGTGAGTGGGTGATCATAAGAATGTGAACTTTTGAACTCATAAGCAAGCACGAGCTATGAGTATGCAGCCTCCTAGCTGAAAATGGTATGGGCTGAATAAATTTTCATAGCACTGGGACTAAATAACTGTGGAATGACCTGATTCCTCCAGTTAATAACACGATGTAAGACAGAACCACCAATTAAAAGCTGATCGTGCATTTCCTTCTGCACATTGACTATTTAGGTGGGGAAATCTGGGGGCTGCAAAAGAAGGCGGTGAAGATCACGACTGGAGAAAAGATCCTGGAAGTTGCAGAAGACCCTGGAGACCAGATCACTGCCTGGTGACAAGTGCTGGGGGACTAGCAGACTCCCTGGCTGCCAGACCAGAGACCTCTCACATCTGAGACTGATACCTGTGAGCAGTATCACCTGCATCACCTGACTGGGCTTTCTGCCTGTCCTTCGCTGGCCAGCAGCCGCCTCCCTTTGCGGAGGGACACTGAGACCTGGGGAATGTGATGCTGGTGGGGAGGGAGAGGATGTGTGGAGAAATCAAGCAGAGCAAAACTGTGGAGAAATCAAGCAGAGCAAAACCCTAAATCTCAGGGGCTCTTAAATAAACCCCAGTATCCAGATCCACCATGCATTGTTGTCACCTGTGACAATTTAAGACATAACTTTTATAACTGTATCATTCGAGCACCGCCAGCCTTCATTCCCATGCATGCAAAACACAGTAGATGTATTCACAACAGAAGACCATGCTACTTGTGCAACAGAAAGAATGGAAGGAGAGAAACTGAACAAAGATCACCTAATCTTGTTAAACATGGCAGGAAATCACATTTGCGTCAGAGTGGAGCAACAAAGAAAAGATACTTCCCAATACCAACTCCTGAAAATCCACTACTGAATTATTTTCAAATGTGGTAAATCAAATTTAATGCCAATATGTCTCTATGTGAAAGATCAATCTCAGTGAGAAAACAAAAAAATGGGAGCTGTATTTGAAGTGAGTCTTGTTTATAATGAAGTCATCCTTGTTTGCTTGGGTTTTTTTAGATATTTTTAAGAAAGGAACTGAAAACACAAGTTATTAATAAATATTTTCATATAATTAGTCTGTGGAAGTAGACATTCTGTAGAAATACTGGAAGCTCATTTAAATGCTCAGAGGCATTTGAAAAAAACTGGGCAAAACACTACAGAAAAATCTGCACAACCTTAGTCATGTCAATAACTGAAAATTAGTTGTGCTGATGCCCTTTTTCAGACTTTTATCATAAAGCATGGGCTACCATTAAACTAGAGCCTGTTTTCTCATAAGAGAGGGACAAATATCCACTAATACCGGTAGTATTATTGAATTTCCTTCTGCAAGTATGACATGATGCAGCCAGCACAGGAGATGCTCAAAAGAGCAAATACAAGTGAGGTCAAAACACTGAACCCATGTCAAAGATCATTTCCACACCTCATCTGCTTTCTGAACAAACTGTTACTGCTTTTTCTTAAATCAGTACCTACCCACTGGCTGTTATCATTTCTCTATCAGCTCCTGGCCAGACACACAGTTTAACTGTCAAGATAATCTGGGAGTCCTCAGGCTGACTCAATATTTTCAGCTCTGAGTCCAGTGGTGAAACATGCAATCTTTATGGATTGTAAAGCCATTTTCTGCTTCAGTTCTTGCTTGCTCCTTCTAGCTTCCCTTTTATGGTTTTGCTATACATAAATCTTGTGTAATTATTTCAGGATTAGTTCTCCTTGGTTCAAGCCACTTGACAGATTTGGGCACTTAAACATTTGTCCATCTGCCCTATTGCTTGAAAATTTGTCTTGAACAATATCCTTATAGCAGTTTTTATTCTTCCTGATTTCTTAGCTAACATTACGGTGCACTCATTTTTTTACAAGAGGTGCTTAAATATTCTAGATATTTTGTGGTTTAGCTAAATAAAATAAGCCTACACAGCGTAATGATTCAGCCTGCACCACTGGCCTCATCTTTTTCTTTTCCACATAAATCAGCTTATTTCTTTCTAAGTAATCCCAAAAGCTTATTTAAATGTGCCAAAGTATTCACTATTTATAAAATGCATCTCTTTGGATGGGTGTATGGACAGAGAAAAAACTATTGCTGTCCACAGGAGTAAAGTGTGAGATTGGGGATGGTAGTAGTATAAAATCACGGGGTAAGACCCTTTCTTAAAGAAGGTAAAAGTATTTCAGATGAAAGCAATTTTATAAAAAAGACTAAAATCCATAGGTGGGCCAGTTTTGTGAAATCCAGAGGACTGGATTCAAAGGCACTAGAGTGTTTAGGACTTTTTTCCTCCCCTTATCAGAAAACTCTTCTAGTGACAACCTTGATAGCAAGAAATCAAACCAGTTGGAGCATGACAAAACAAGCCAGGAAATGTGATTAAGGATAGACACATCATGGAAGATATGAAGTATCAGGAATATTACAGGTATGCCAGGGAAGTGGGTTGAGAGGAAAGGCATTAACCATGTCAGACATGACATCCTCTCTGTGGAGGGTTGGAAAGGTTGGAAAGGGAAGACAGATAACAGCAGCAGGCTGGATACATCAAACTGATCACTTAAAGACTGCAGTCCTTTGGAAAAGAGAGATGGATCCTGACACAAGACCAGCAAGACCCTCGGAACACATAGCCATGAGGAATAGTTATTAGTAACCAAACTTAGTTGTTTGCAAGGATTTAGTATAGTCTAGGACTGCTGTTTTCCTTTTTACTATCTGCAAACAGCTTTTCTGTGTTCAATTTCTAAGATGCAATTTTCCAGGGACTGCCAGTTTATTAGATCTCTGGCATGTATGGTTGTTAAAATGTATGAATAATTTGGGACCTGCTAACCTGCCATTCATGCTGGGGTCAGTTTTCTTTTTGTGTGACAATATCTGCAATTATTTGTGTACCTTTTCTTTCTGGCAAGTTTTCAACCAGTTAGCTGGTGAGCAGAAAATGTTAGCTTTTCCTCTGTAGAGAATTATAAGCAGAAGTATACAGAGACTAGCTCTAGGATGTCTATTACATTACCAACATCCTCAGAGCAAGCTATGACAACAAGGATGTCTCATTTGAAAACAATCCAGGATAAAGGAATAGAAAGGAATATGTTGACGTGTAATGTCATGACATTTCTGAGGGGTTTGAGCTTTTAATTAGTGAGGCTAGAGCTATTAAAATGACGTACTACAGTTTTGCTTTTTATTGTTTTTTTTGTCCGGGTAGGCCAACCAGTTTATCACCTCGTTAGTTTTTTATTGCTGATGCATTTGATTTTTGGAGAGGCTTAAAGAACATTATATTTTCTTCCTTAAAAGCAGAGAATCATGGAGAGGCCACAACCATTTCTCAGTGGATTAATCTTTCAAAGGGACAGTTATTAGGTGTACTGTGATGCAGACAGCTTCCTCTGTAACCACATAAAAATCCCAAATACAAGGGTTTACATAAAGCCCATCATCTCTTGGCTGAGATGGGTGATTACTACTTCAAGGCAGGAGCTTGCAGTAAGTCAGCTGCCATATGTGATGAAGATCTAGAAGGAAAAATCCTTTGCAAGGTGTTTGACTCCTTCTTTGACTCCAGGAATTTATTTGCTAGTATATACTGCCTTCTACAAATCCCCGGTGTAACTCATTTCAGCAAACCTCAGGATCTGCCATAAACTGGCATAGATTGTAGGTAAATATGGTTCATTTTCCATGAGAAGACTGAAGACTGAACCCCAGGAGAGTGAGGATGTATAGTTGGATCAGATATTTAGCAGGTCTGAATGCAAACTGCCTACAGAAAAGTAAAAGCCTCCATTTAAAATCTCTTCTAGTATCTCAGATGAGTTTGAGAGTGCATAGGAATAAAGGCTGTCATACTATTAGACTCCATATATATATAAAGTATCTTTCAGGTTTCAAATTATTGTTTGGGTCATTTTAACAAAAGAAACTATATGACCCTCATAGATGCAGTG